CTATTATTACTGTCACTCTCTCTCATTACTGTCACTGTCTATTATTACCGTCACTGTCGGTTCTTACTGTCACTGTCACTCATTACTGTCAGTGTCTATTATTACTGTCGCTCACCATTCTATTGTTACTGTCACAGTCTATTATTACTGTCACTGTCACTCACCAGTACCGTCATTCTCTGGGTATATTATTACTGTTGCTGTCGATTCTTGTCACTGTCTAGTACTGTGTCACTGTCTATTATTACTGTCACTGTCTATTTTTACCATCACTGTCTCTCATTGCTGTCACTGTCTCTTATTATTGTCTGTCTTACTGTCACTGTCGATTGTTGTCTGTCACTGTCACTGTGTATTATTACCGTCACTGTCTCTCATTACTGTGACTGTCTATTATTACTGTCACTGTCTATTATTACCATCACTGTCTCTCATTGCTGTCACTCTCTATTATTACTGTCACTGTCTATTGTTACTGTCACTGTCTCTCATTATTGTCACTCTATTATTACTGTCACTGTCTATTATTACCATCACTGTCTCACAATGCTGTCACTCTCTATTATTACTGTCACTGTCGATTTTTACTGTCACTGTTACAGTCTATTATTACTGTCACTGTCTAATATTATTGTCACTGTCTCTCATTACTGTCACTCTCTATTATTACTGTCACTGTCAATTCTTACTGTCGCTGTTACAGTCTATTATTACTGTCACTGTCTATTCTTACTGTCACTGTCACTGTCTGTTATTACTGTCAGTATCTATTATTACTGTCACTCTCTCTCATTACTGTCACTGTCTATTATTACCGTCACTGTCATTGTTACTGTCTTGTCTATCACTGTTACTGTGTCACTGTCTATTATTACTGTCACTGTCCATTATTACTGTCACTGTCTACAGTCTACTGTATTAGTAGTGTCACTCACTACTGTCATTACTCTCATTATTACTGTTACTGTCATTCTCTACCCTCACTGTCACTGTCTATTATTACTGTCACTGTCATTTTCTAGTAGTGCTCACTGTCTCTCATTGCTGTCACTCTCTATTATTACTGTCACTGTCGATTCTTTTGTCACTGTCACTGTGTATTATTACCGTCACTGTCTCTCATTACTGTGACTGTCTATTATTACTGTCACTGTCTATTATTACCATCACTGTCTCTCATTGCTGTCACTCTCTATTATTACTGTCACTGTCACTGTCTATTGTTACTGTCACTTACTGTCACTGTCTATTATTATTGTCACTGTATTATTACTGTCACTGTCACTGTCCTAGTATCACTGTTACTGTCACTGTCTATTATTACTGTCACTGTCTATTATTACTGTCACTGTCTCTCATTACTGTCACTGCTCTATTATTACTGTCACTGTCGATTCTTACTGTCGCTGTTACTGTCTATTATTACTGTCACTGTCTATTATTACTGTCACTGTCTCTCATTACTGTCACTCTCTATTATTACTGTCACTGTCAATTCTTACTGTCGCTGTTACTGTCTAGTAGTGCTGTCACTGTCTATTATTACTGTCACTGTCTCTTATTACTGTCACTCTCTATTATAACTGTCACGGTCGATTCTTACTGTCACTGTCACTGTCTATTATTACTGTCACTGTCTCTCATTACTGTCACTCCCTATTATTACTGTCATTGTCGATTCTCACTGATACTGCCCGTGAAGGTCCTGGGGTCGAATTGGTCTTCATTAACCCATGCTTGTCGTGAAAGGCGACTATGCTTGTCGTAAGAATCGATTAACGGGATCGGGTGGTCAGGCTCGCTGACTTGGTTGACACATGTCATCGGTTCCCAATTACGCAGATTGATGCTCATGCTGTTGATCACTGGATTGTCTGGTCCAGACCTGATTATTTACAGACTGCTGCCATATAGCTGGAATATTGCTGAGTACGACGTAAAACTAAACTCACTCACTCACTCACTCACTCTTACTGTCACTGTCACTGGCGGTTATTAGTGTCACTATCTATTATTACTGTCACTGTCGATCCTTACTGTCGCTGTTACAGTCTATTATTACTGTCAGTGTCTCTCATTACTGTCACTATCTATTGTTACTGTCACTGTCGACTATTATAGTATGACCAGAAATTATTGAGACCAGCTATCAAGTGCTTGGTTTCATTCAAGAGAGACAACTCCGTTAATCCTTTTTCTAGTATGCTAATATTCACATTTAATACGTGAGTGATGAGTGAAAAATATAAAAGATATAATCTGTAAATTCTCAATGATTTCTGGTTGTACTGTACTATCGCTGTTACAGTCTATTATTACTGCCAGTGTCACTGTCTATTATTATCGCCACTGTCTCTCATTACTGTCACCCTCTATTATTACTGTCACTGGCTATTATTACTGTCACTGTTACAGTCTATTATTACTGTCACTGTCAGTTATTACTGCACATGGGCACAATGTGTGAAGCCCATTTCTGGTGTCCCCCGCCGTGATGTTGCTGGAATATTGCTAAAAACGGCGTAAAACCAAACTCAGTCAGTCAGTCAGTCAGTTATTACTGACCCATGAAGATCCGGGGTAGAATAGGTCTTCAGCAACTCATGCTTGCCACAAAAGGCGACTATGCTTGTTGCAAGAGGCGACTAACGGGATCGGGTGATCAGGCTTACTGACTTGGTTGACACATGTCATCGGTTCCCAGTTGCACAAATTGATGCTCATGCTGTTGATCACTGGATTGTCTGGTCCAGACTCGTTTATTTTCAGACCGCTGCCATATAGCTGGAATATTGCTGAGTGCAGCGTAAAACTCAACTCACTCACTCACTCACTCACTCACTCACTATTATTACTGTCACTGTCTCTGTCTATTATGTCTGTCACTGTCTATTATTACTGTCACTGTCTATTGTTACTCTCACTGTCTATCACTATCACTGTATAATATTACTGTCACTGTCTAGTTTTGCTGTCACTGTCTCTCATTACTGTCACTGTCTATTTTCACTGTCACTGCCTATTATCACTGTCACTGTCGGAGGCAGTAGAGTGGCCTAGTGGTTAAAGCATTCGTTTGTCACTCCAAAAACCTGGGTTTGATTCTCCACATGAGTACAATGTGTGAAGCCCATTTCTGGTGTCCCCCACCGTGATATTGCCCGAAAATTGTAAAACCAAACTCACTCACTCAATGTCACTGTCTATTAAGTGGCTGTCACTGTTTGGTAGTGCTGTCTCTGTCTATTGTTACTGTCACTGTCTATTATTACTGTCACTGTCTATTGTTACTGTCACTGTCTATTAATTGGTAGACTAAGGCTTAGTCTCTGAATATATATAATTTTGATAGTAACAAACAAGCCCATTTATATTGAAAAGGAGCCCTAGGGAGACCAGAGATTCTGAACCTGAAGAAATCTAGACTTGCTTTATTTAGGGCTTTAGCACTGCAGAGAGAGCTTGGCAGTGGGGAAATAATGTGGTTCAGGGACTGTCAGACAGACTAATTAAGTGGCTGTCACTGTCACTGTCTAGTAGTGCTGTCACAGGGTATTATTACTGTCACTGTCTATTATTACTGTCACTGTCTTTTATTACTGTCACTGTCTGTTAAGTGGCTGTCACTGTCACTGTCTAGTAGTGCTGTCACGGGGTATTATTACTGTCACTGTCTATTATTACTGTCACAGGGTATTATTACTGTCACTGTCTATTATTACTGTCACTGTCTACTGTCACTGTCTATTATTACTGTCACTGTCTGTTAAGTGGCTGTCACTGTCACTGTCTGGTAGTGCTGTCACAGGGTATTATTACTGTCACTGTCTATTATTATTGTCACTGTCTATTATTACTGTCACTGTCTAGTAGTGCTGTCATAGGGTATTATTACTGTCACTGTCTATAATTACTGTCACTGTCTATTATTACTGTCACTGTCACTATCTATTATTACTGTCTCTGTCTCTTGTTACTGTCACCATCTATTAATACTGTCACTGTCTATTATTACTGTCACTGTCTATTATTACTGTCACTGACTCTTGTTACTGTCACTGTCTATTAAGAGGCTGTCACTGTCTAATGGGGCTGTCACTGTCTCTTGTTACTGTCACTGTCTATTAAGAGGCTGTCACTGTCTAGTAGTGCTGTCACTGTCTATTATTACTGTCACTGTCGCTTGTTACTGTCACTGTCTCTTGTTACTGTTACTGTCACTGTCTATTATTACTGTCACTGTCTCTTGTTACTGTCACTGTCTATTAAGAGGCTGTCACTGTCACTGTCTAGTAGTGCTGTCACAGGGTATTATTACTGTCACTGTCTCTTGTTACTGTCACTGTCTATTAAGAGGCTGTCATTGTCACTGTGTATTGTTACTGTCACTGTCTATTAAGAGGCTGTCACTGTCTAGTAGTGCTGTCACAGGGTATTATTACTGTCACTGTCTCTTGTTACTGTCACTGTCTATTAAGAGGCTGTCATTGTCACTGTCTCTTGTTACTGTCACTATCTATTAAGAGGCTGTCAGTGAGTGTCACTGTCTAGTAGTGCTGTCACAGGGTATTATTACTGTCACTGTCTTGTTACTGTCACTGTCTATTAAGAGGCTGTCACTGTCTAGTAGTGCTGTCACAGGGTATTATTACCGTCACTGTCTCTCATTACTGTCACTGTCTACTGTCACTGTCTATTATTAATGTCACTGTCTCTTGTTACTGTCACTGTCTCTTGTTACTGTCACTGTCTATTAAGAGGATGTCACTGTCACTGTCTAGTAGTGCTGTCACAGGGTATTATTACTGTCACTGTCTATTATTACCGTCACAGGGTATTATTACTGTCACTGTCTCTGTCTATTATTACTGTCACTGTTTCAATCACTTACTTTACATGACAACTTGTTGTGTGGATTTCTTTGGTAAGTATACAGTATCTGTAGTAACAAAAAAATTAATAGTTTACAAAAGAAAAGGTAATTTAGTATATATTTTCAGATGAACAGCCATGCGCCAAATTCAGGAATGAACACACACGGATGAAAAGACACGCTTGCCAATATGGATGTATGACAAGCGAGTGTGCAACATGCCTTGATGGCTTCTACGGTGACTTATGTAAGAAGAATTGTCCTACCAATTGTGACAGCACCTGCAACAAAACAAGCGGCCAGTGTGATCACTCCTGCAGAAAGAACTGGGGGCCTTTTTGTGAGGATGAATGCCCTGTGAACTGTTTAGAAGGATGTGATATGTTGTCAGGACAGTGCTACGGTGGCTGTAGCGAGGGCTGGTATGGACTTAAATGTGACCAGACATGTCCTAAAGAATGCTTTTCGGACATCTGTTACCAGGACTCTGGCAAGTGTGTTCAGGGTTGCACCAAAGGTTGGCAGGGGGATCTGTGCAATATGCCTTGTTCAGACGGATGTCTCAATGGATCCTGTTTTCAAAATGGAACATGTGAACTTGGATGTTACTCTAACTACACTGGGTTGTTCGGAAAATGCTCTGTTTCATGCATTGAAAACTGTGCAGGAAATATATGTCACATATCAAAGCCTTTGAGGTCATATGTTTGCACCCAAGGCTGCAAAGATGGCTTTGCAGGAGCTTCGTGCAGTGAGAAATGTTCTGGAAGTTGTAAGACATGTGAACAGTATGATGCCCTGAAGTGCAAAGTTTGTTCCTGCAGCATGTACGGCTCTGAATGCCAAAACCATTGCAGCGAGACATGTAACAACTCAACCTGTCCTGTCTGTGACAACAAGGGATCATGTCGGCATGGATGCGTGGACGGAACTTGGGGTAAGCAGTGCCAGGAAAGATGCAGCAGCAACTGTATTGCTTGTGATGGGAAAGAAAAATGTACAAGATGCAAAAATGGGCTTTACGGGAAGAGGTGCAGTGAGAAGTGCAGTCGTTGTCAGGGTGGAGACTGTCATCAGAATGGGACGTGCATCAATGGCTGTGTGCATGGCCTCAAGGGTCCAAAGTGTAACATTGTTACCAATGTGCCAGGTAAGTTGTATGCAGTCTTGTTGGCTTGCCATCTAATGCCATCTTGCTACCTGTTCTGTAGACGTAGTGAAATGTATCAAAGTATTAACCACAGTGTTCAGTGATTGAAAGAATGTCATGTAATCCTATATTGTAGTTTCCAAAATATGCAACAGTTGGCATATATACAAAGTAAATTCTCCTTTAGTCATCTTAAGGTTTGTTTCATGTCCTTCAAAGAGTTTACCACAAAAATTTGACATGCCGCTTTGAGCTAATGTCATGACTTTTGTCTGTTCTATGAATGACTAATTTATGTCATCAGTCTGCTTAAACCTGCTTTTCCAGAACTCCTTGGTATGTCAATATAATTTCCCCTAAACGTGAATGATATGTTTTAGAAGTAATGAGAGTATGTTTTACATATATTTACCACTGGCACAATAATCTGCTGTTTGAACATTCTGATATAACAAAAAACAATCTTTTGAACATTAATTTAGTCATACATGCCATTTATCACCATGATGTGAAAACATATCATATATTTTATATTTTTCTGATGATTGTTTTGAAAAGAGGTTCAAATTAAATCATGGTATTTTGATTATGAATTAGCATGATTTCTATCCTTACAACAAAAAATATGTAAGCAGGGTTTGGACATTTTGTTTTTTATCCCCCAAGTTCCGTCCATCTGTCCGTCCGTCTGTGCATCCGTCACACTTATTCAGAAGCATATCTCCTAAACTATTCTTGATAGCTTAACCAAACTTGGTACACGTGTCAACCATGATCCCTAGATGTGCCTTTTGGGGGTAAGACCCATATAAGAATTTTATGTTTTGTGGTTTCCATGGAAACGTGACATAGGCTGTGACTATGAGGATGTCATCTTGTCAGGAGCAGATCTCCTAAACTATACATGCTAGCTTCATCAAACTTGGTACACATATCAAGCATGATCCATCCATACACGATAGATGTGCCATTTGATGGTTAGACCCAGATATGAATTTATTTTTTGTGGTCAGTGGAAACATGACTTAGGCTGTGACTGTGAGGATGCTATTTTGTTGCATTTCCATGGCAACAAGTTAGGCTTCAACTGAATTTGGTGGTAGTGATCCTTTCTGGAGCAGAAGTTAAAAACCTCTCCTTCCACTTTGCTATATACACTCCAAATCATTTGACATAATCATAACTAGCAGACATATTCATAAAGAGTATTTTGCCATTGCGGGGGATATTGATGACTTTGTCTTCTTGTTATTTTTGAAAAAAACAACAAATTGATTATTTGTTGTATTGGGCTTCAATTGCATTACACAAAAATGGCCACTGTTTTGGGCTCTATGCTAACCTTCAATATCATTTTGAAGTACTGGGAGCTTCAGTGCCTTTCAGCTATTGTTGAATTGTTTTGTCTTGTGATTTATTTGTTAAGAATGATAATATAATCAGTAGAAATTCATAGTCAATATTATACAATGGTTGTGAAATGTTTGCAGTTATGCTGTTTGCATGATATTCACACTCCAGTGAGACCATTTTAGGAGAATTTATTGGGAACACGTCTCTTCTATCTTTGAATTATTGACTAAGGTACCCAGGTTTGATTCCCTACATGAGTACAATGTGCGAAGCCCATTTGCTCGAATATTGCAGCAAAAAAAAAGCGATGTAAAACCATACTTTCTCACTCACTACAGCATAAAGATTAGCTTTAAAGTACAGACTTGTATTGTGAAGAAATGCCATGCTGCACTATTCAAATTTCTTTTCACTCCAATTACAGAATGGACAGGACGTGAGGCTGTATTTACAGTTATAGTTGTCGGCGGGACAATAATATATTATGTATTGTAAGTATAATGTGTTTAACCAGAGGCGGAATTCATAAAGCAACTGAAGTCTGAATAAAAGGAATTTTGACTGAAGAAAATCACAGTTTCTATATGAATGATGCTCCTGGTAACAACAGTCTTGTACTTGTCTCAGAAAGTCCACTTCCATTCTAGACTACTCTTGAAATTATTTTGGCAAAGCTCTATTAATTCACAATATGCAAACGAAACATGTGTGTTAACGTTTTTGAATTTGCATGATTATGAAATGATTATGAAACACATTTTTACCTTCACCTTTAAGCAATACCCTGATTGGCCAAATGAAAGCTTGTGCTGACGACTTGCAGTGGGATGTTTTCAGTCCTTTGTGTAGCAGTAGAAAGCACTAACGCCTGATTTTGATGAGTTTGATTGCATACAGTTTTGTTTCTTTCTGTAAATGCCTCATTTATTTCACTCAGTACATTTTGTATAATATCAGAAGTTTTGAAAAATCTGACAATGCATACTGCTGCATGGTAAATGTCACTGTCTATGCAGAGACTCAATCCTATTTGTTTGTTTGTTTGTAAACACCACACTCATCAGTGTTCAAGATATATCAGAGTGACCTTATGATAGCTTAATTGATGATATGATCAATGTAAAAACATGATGACCTGCAATCAGTCAAGTCACTTGGCCACCAGATGATACATTTAGTGTACAAGCATAGGTTGTATGGGACCAATTCTTATCTGGAATACCCCCCAAAAGTAAAGGAAAGTCAATTTTCTATTTTCAGTTTATGGCGGCAAGCTGCTCCAGCTAACTGATGAAGGAGTTTATTATGAAGCTGTCATGGAAGGAAGAGAAGAAAAGCTTCCGAGATGCTGATTCACCTTGCCACTGTGTACCTGAATGGACGGGCATCCAGATGCCCAAGCCTTCAATGGATGAAATGAAATGTCTAAAGTCTGAAGCAGAATAAATTGTCCACAGATCCATGGGGGTAAGAAACTAATAGAAACTTCCGCTCGAAATACTTGTATTAAATTTGAAAATACAAGAAATTTGATTGTAGGTATTTGGTTAAGTACAAAGTTATGTGACATTAATATAAATTTCTTTGATTGTCTCATTGGTTTGAAATGACTTTACAAATGGTTCATTGGCCCCCTTCTTCTCTCCCAGAAGTCAGTGTTCATCCATTATTTTTCTTGTGACCGTCTGCATGATGGGACTTCTCAGAATAGCCTTACCCAAACACTTTGCAAGTATGTGACATCTTCCATACATATCCGATGACAAAAGGTGTACTAAGGGCTATTGAATCTTTAACATTCCCGCTCTTACTCTTAACAATTTTGTGTTTGTCTTCATGAATGCCTTTTCAGTGAACTAGAAAGAGGTTTACGACTCATTAAATATTTTCCATATTTACATTTGTTTAGTCAGATTGATTTGTGATTACAGAGTAAGTTAAGCACCCAAATTCTCCCCTACATTCTTGTTTACTAATTATGTTGAGCTTAGGGATTATCTTGCAAGGGGCAGATAATTCTGTACATGCTCCCTTGATATCAAAACATTGAATGTATTACATGTGTCAGTTGTTTAATGAGAAAGGTCATCAATTGTTATTTACTCTTTACACATTGTTTTTGTGAATCATTCCTATTCAACTGTCTTCAAAGCATTCTCAACCAGAAATGGAATAACAAATAATGCACCTTGGACCCTCACATGACTGTAACATGACTGTCAGTCTGTGTCATTATAGGCCCCACCCCACAAAGTGATCTCAGCACTAATGTGATTGTAACCTGGGGTGGAAAAAACTTTAAAATTGCTAGTGTACACCGGTCCAGTGGCACATGTAAAATCACTTTCCCTGATAATTTTTCCTCTATACCAGCCCATTTTCTTGTTGATTTTTTAAATAAGCAACATAATTAACATTGGAAAGTCAACTGGACATTGGTACAGCGTGATATACAAATTTGCAAGCCCGACTGGAAAAAAACACTGGACTCGGATGTCGGCAATGGGTTATTTCCACCCCTGGTAACATCAATTCTTTAACAGAGGCCACAGAAATTTGTAGTGTTATGAACCCATTGTTAATAGGGTGTCCTTGTTATCTGCAGATCCTGCTGCATTCTTATTCAGTCACAGAGCATACTTAATTCATTGAATATAGCCAGTCATGTTGTGTGAAGTCTGTGCAGCAGGGTCTAGGAGAAATTCTGTGATAGAACTACTGCAGTGCACAGGCCCTCGTGTCTTTGCGCGGATCAAAGATTTTGAAAAAATATATAAAATTTGAGATGACCCCAGACTCGAAATGCCTCACAGTACAATACATTATGACAGGGCCCGGACACTTTGGTGTATCCCAACCGCCTGCTTTGACGATCGCTACGCTACCATAGCATGCAATCAATTAAAACTTAATGTAAACATAATCATGGATGATTGGCCTATCGATCACCACTCATGGCACCTACCAATTCTTTATTGTTATTTCTGTTATTGACGATTGAAACCCGATTTTGACCCTCAACTAAACAATCTTACCACAAATGGCTGACGATATGTCGGGGCAAACTGGGTGTGTGGTCGAAGCAAGGTGACATTTACAACTGATACTTTCTTTGAGAAGTCATTGCTCGAAAAATATTCTTACATTAAGCAAAGGAAGAATTCCAGCGAATATACAAAGAATGTGAAGATTTGCAAACGTTGACCAATGAGAAGGCTTGCTTCGACCACACCACCCATTTTGTCCGGACATATCGTCAGCCATTTGTGTCATTTGTGACTTAAAATAAAGAATTGGAAGGTGTTATGAGTGGTGATCGATAGGCCAATCATCTATGATTATGTTTACATTAAGTTTTAATCGATTGCATGCGATGGTAGCGTAGCGATCGGCAAAACAAGTGGGTGGGGTACACCGAAGTGTCCGTCCTTGTCAGGCATTTCGAGTCGGGGGTCATCTCAAAAAAATATTTTTCTTAATCTTTAATCTTCGCAAAGACACGAGGGCCTGTGCTGCAGTGCAGTTAAGATATTTGGTTAGCACTAAGTGGCATTATCCTGATATTAACTCTGTTACTATTATTTTTGTTAGTCATACATGCTTAGTAATTACAGTGATAGAGTATGGACAGTTAAACATTTTGAACTTGCCTTTTGTATAAATACTTAAATATTTTTGCTACTTTTGACCTTTGAACATGTTTCTCTGATGAATCTTAGCAACATTTGACAACAAAGTTTGTATTTTATGCAGTGGTGTTTTACCGAAGTGCTCTTAATTGTGTGACTTAATGTCATGATGCCAACATGCTCGGTAACTACAAGATTAAGCGATGGCTCTGTAAAATCAGGATTTGTCTGGGTAACATAACATCTGCCCAGTTTGGTCTCATGTGTATAACAGTGCTTTTAATATATGATAGATATTTAAAAAATGGTGCTTTATGAAAGTATCTGTACGTTGCATGTTCCAAAGTGCTCAAGATCATGTGATTTGGCATGATGATGCCATTGTTATTGCCATGTCGATGCCATCGGCCCAGTTTTGTTTGATGTGTATAACTGTGCTTTTAATTTATTATAGGTGTTCCAAAAATGGTGCTATATGAAAGTATCTGTACACTGCATGCACCAAAGTGCTCATTATCATGTTTCTTGGTGTCCTGATGCAAATTTTATTACCACCTATCTGTAAAATATTTTATAGATTTATAGACTCATATAACCGTGCCATTATACATGATGCTTTTGAGGTCACCTTAGCCGGTTGGCATGTCGGCAGGAATACATGATACATGTGTCATTATTTATACTGTGAGGTTAACATAAATCTTTTAATCCATGATAAAGTTGTCTTTTGCATGTGAGCCCTTGTGAAGCCTGAGACGGATTTTGTGTCGTCTTGATTATATTTCTTGTGATCTAATAACCAATAGCTTCCTGATAATTTTGATGTATCAATTTTTTATTTTATGTTTTAGTTGATGTAACACAAGTTATTGTGGCAATATTTCATTTAATGTTTGCTATATTTTGACTCACCTGAATCAAAATTTACCATCAGAAGTTAACTGCCTAAATTATATGAGTTTGCTTTATATGCTGGCTTGAGCTGCTTTTGAACAATTAGAAAAAAGAAAACTTTAACATAATGATTCATCATATTTTTGGCCAAAGATTAATGAAGTGATATGCTGCTTGAAACTGATTTTCACTATAATTTATGCTGAAGTGATCATTGTTAGCACAAGTACTACAAATATGTGCCCCAGGTATGTTATTGTATACCGAAATGTACACTGGAAAAAGTCAAAATACAGAAGAGAAGGTGGTACCCTAAATGGTAGACTAGGCCAAATTCCTCAACCCAAAACCAAAACCGGTTCATTTTATATTTCCCTGGTTATGAGTGATACTGTTCATCGTCAAATATTCATCATGTGTAATGTGTACCTGATACGTTTGTTTGTTATATAATGCACATTATCAAACACATGTTTTGTGATATTGTTGTGATCGTTGCTGTGTTATACTTGTTAGAATTATGTCATTAAATGTACATTATCTTGTTAAGAGTGAGAACAAATGACTTCCCTGTCTTTGTCCCTGTGATATACTGCCAAATATGATTACCACCGCTACATATCCTACGGTATATGTTGAACATTATTACATAGTTTATTATTACATAGTTTATTATTACCAGAGATACTTACTGTATGTCACATATTAACAATATTTTAATTTAAGAGAAGTCTTTTTGTTAATATTTTTTTCAGAATTATAGTTTCAAAATTATGAGAACCACTTATCAGATTTTATTCTTGCTTTCTGTGTCAATAGTCCAAATAGAACTTATAAATAGGTACATGCTGTTAATTATTATAATAATGTTGCTTTTTCACTTTATATTTTATCATATATTATCATCTATATATTTAATGTGTGATAACTTTGTATATTGCTTGTTTACTATGAGATTAAGGAATGGTTCGGTAAAACCAGGAATGTTTTGTGTAACTTAATGCTTAACCGCACTTGCCATGTCTCCTTTGTGATATTGTGTTTGTATTATATACAGTATTCTCTGGTGTATAATCATAATGCTTTTCTTTATACACTCAGACAATTAGTTAAGATACCAGGGGAGGTCAAAAAGTTTTGAGAACTCACTAACAAAAGTTGTGACACAGCTATGCCGCTAGTAGTATTGCATACATTGATCATTCATGAGATACTTGTGAAAGTTTCAACACCTGGCAACAAACAGTATTAATATTGTGATAACTGGAAGAGAGATACCCTACTTATATCATGGAGAATTCTAAACTGAGTACAGAGCTGTAGTTAATGTCCTCACACTAGAGGGCGCCACCACAAGCAGAATCCACAGTCCTGACCTGGCTCCCAGTGATTATAACCTGTTTCGAAATTTGAAGTCTGACTGGTGTGGAAGACTATTTGCCAATGATGAACTCAAGGCTACAATATAAGCTTGGTTTAGGGGCCAGTCAAAAGACTTCTATTTCCAGGGCATTGCCAGCTTGCAGCACAAATGGGTAAAGTGTATTGAGCACAAGGGAGACTATAGTGAAAAATAAAAGTTCGAAACCTGCTTTGACTGTTAATTGTATATCAAGTTCTCAAAATGTTTTGACTTCCCCTCGTATTTCATCCAAAGAAAGTCATTACTGCTAACATACACCACTGAGGATAGAATGTACTGGCTTTTGCTGGTTCTTTCTGTTATTAGTCAGGCTCCAGGTGTATCAAACTTTCTTTGGTCTTGATGTTTTATTCCAGTTTATGCACCAGTCAGCTGCATGAAAATGTGTTCTATTGTTTATATTGTTTACATATTTTTGTCCAAATTTTGCTAAAGTGATATTCAGCTTGAAACTGATCTACACAGTAATTTGCACCAGCACGATGACTAGGTTATTGCTTGACCCTGTAATCTCAGTTGTTGTTTTATGGATAAATTTTTGTCCTGCGGTTTGATCTCCTGAAATTTGGTTATTTCACTCAACATTCAAATCATTCCCTTTGGGAACAATATTGGCCATGTATCTTAATGCATAATCAGTCATTCTGACATCGAGAGGTTGTGTTTCTGTTTAATAAAAATAAGCTCCTATTTTTGTGTTTGTGGTGTAAATATTGACAAGGATAATCAAAGTGGTTCATTTCCACGGAAAGAGTTGTGAAAACCAAAATGAGTAGCCGACATATATGAACGTTGGGAATTGGAAATCGTAGCTAAAGCTTCTGATTGGGATTTTACGAGCGCTTCTAATCTATCATCAGCTAAATTCTACAGAGTGAGTTTAGTGTTACGCCGCACTCAGCAATATTCCAGGTTTATGGCGGCGGTGTGTAAGTAATCGAGTCTGCAATAGAAAATCCAGCGATCAACAGCATGAGCATCGATGTACGCAATTGGGATACGTTGACAGTCAGCGAGCCTGACCACCCGATCGCGTTAGTCGCCTCTTACGACAAGCATGGGGTTACTGGAGATCAATTCAACCCGGATCTTCGCGGGTATGCTACTGACTGATCTTGCACTGATATGGACATCACGTTGGATGAGTCTACACATAGACACTACAGACATCCATGAAGCGACAGCAGACTAAGAGTAAGTATGGCCTCACAATCCCAATATACAGTACTGGAATAAGGGACCGTTCATAATTTATGGCTTGGGGTGGGTGGGGGTTGTTTGATGATGATTTTAGGGGGCACCCATTTTGTTCTGGCGAGCTAGGGGATCATCAATTTTGTACACACGCATTGGGGGGGTCATCAATTTTGTACATAAAAATATGTTTAAAATTATGCTTAGAAATTATGGGTGGGGAGGGGAGTCATTGATTTTGTACATGACATACGGGGGTCACTTATTT